TAACGTGTCTGCAAATTCCAAAAAATAACATGTTTTCGGCCATCCCTTTTAAAAATATGAATGTTCAAAGTGAGAATTATCTCGTAGTTAAACAAGTTAGGGTTAACATTTCTATCACTAACAGTCCGCCAGTACTTTCAAGATTCTCGAGTCATGATCTAGTTACACTTGTTTTACACTGAGTTATAAGCGGGCGTTCGGACCTGAATAACGTAAGAAAGAATCTGAATGCAATGTTCTGCCAATGTTACTTCGAATTATTTGTCCTAATTTTACTACAGGAAGAAGTTGGTTATGGAGGAGACCTTCGAACGAAATCGAGTCCGGCCAACAGATCCTGATTTCGAATACGACATTGCGGTCGATTTTCCAAAACAAGTTGAGACCAGTGGGTGGGACTCGGACTTTTCCGACTTCTGATCTACAAAAATCTGCAAACTGTCTTTCAGACTTCAAATTATTAAGTTACGTTAAAGGATTTTAAAGTGTTATTTTAATCAGAAACTGAAATCGAGCTTTTTCTGGTCCCTTTTTGAACTGTAGGCGAATCCAAAGAATGGGCCCTATAAGAATAATGTGCTACACGCCAAATTCTCATCTTACTAGTCTCTAAATGTGCGAGCAATATTCGGGACAAACTGCCTGAAGAGCAAAGTAATAACGTTTGACCAGACTGGTGTATAAAGGCTTGATTGTCAAAGGCTTGGTAATCATTATTCATGTGTGCAGAGGAAAATGCGACTTACTGTGCCACAAGTTGATTAGCACCCATACTGACAAGTCTCACAGGCTATTATTGGTACTGTAATTGCGTAAACAACCAATATTGCTTTACTAGGCATGATTAGCCATCATACAAATGATCTCGACCTCTGCGCACGGTCAACTGCTCCAACTAATTTGGAGGTTAACGAAGGGCCCCATTTCTGGTTTCGTTTACGAAAATTGAAGTGCAGGATAGAAAAGTGGATGAAATTACTATAAGTAGTTCAGCTGCTCTGATTTCGAAAAAAATAGGATCCGAAGTCATTTGGAAGACAGGCTATCTTTCACTGCTTATAATCAGACAGGAGTTTTCACACTGCAATAGAGATTTATATAAACAGATCATAGTTTATCCAACAGCCTCTGCAGAATGTGCATATTTACTTGCGAGCCCTTAAAAGCGAATCCTGCAGAAAATTAAGATACGCGTTTCCATTACAGAGGCAGTAAAACTAACACTTATCAGAAACGCAAGACAGTACTTTTTATTATAAGATGAGGATTTATAATGAGTACAAGGCATGCGGTTTTTTCCACATATAGGCTAAATGAAGAATGATGATAAGAGTCATTTGAAAAGTGAGATGTGTCTGTGGTAAAAAAGGAGAAGAATTTACATGTAAACAGCGCTGGTGAAATGCAATTGGTCATCATTAGTTGACCTGATTTTTAAAAGCATAGGTTGATAAAGAATGACCCAGTGGAGTCGGCGCTACTCGTTGGTGGATTCGTTAGAGTGAGTGGCTTTCTGCTCACAATCAAGGATTTGGGCGAACGGGGCTCGTGCAGCGCCAGAGGGGTTTTCGTCCTCAGCCCCCTCTGCTTGCTCTCGGGGTTCGATAGGTATGTCGGGAGCTTTACAATTACCCTCACAGAAGCATTCCTGTGGCTTGGTGCAGTCCGCGCCAAATTGGCACGGTCTTCTATGCTTTGAATAGGGCTTAAACGTGACCGGACGTTCCTGATCTCGACTGCCCTCGGACGAGCTGCTGGCTTCTGAGCCGGAGGTTTCACGAGGGCGTACTCTGTGGCGGCCGCAGCGTCGATGCCTAGTTGGCTTCTCAGCAGCATTGCTGATGTCCCCAGGCGAGCGCAACTGTAGTGCACGGCGCCGACTTTTTGAATGGGAGTCATATTGGTTATGGGATGGGGAATAGACAGATTCCAACCCGGAGGCCTGTTCTTCGCGAGAAGTTACAATAACTACGTGAAGGTTCTGAATGTGCGTTGTACTTTGCTTAACATCAGCAACCACGGAGATTGAAGAGCTGTTCGGTTTAGCAGTCTGGCCGTCGCAAATATCTGGGGTTACCAATGCTGCCGGATCTTGACAGGTCTGTTGAGACAGGGGTGGTTGTGAAAGATACTTGCCTAGCATCAGCCCCTCACTAACAGGAAGGCTGGTACGCTTGGACACAGACAATGCGGACATTGCGGCAGGGTTTCTGGACGTGCCGAAACTATCATGGACCGCTTGGCCAGACCCTACACCAGCTCTGCCGAGATTCCCAACTAAAAGGGAAATGGAAGTGCGAAGTGCATAATTGCAGTGATGGTTAAGGTATGGAGAAAGAGTAGTTCACAGTGTTGCCGGTAACCACTCAGATTTTTCGGAACATGCGTGTAACACTTATCATATAAGGATTTATAAAACCTTGTATGCGCTATCCTTTACACCGACAAACCACCAGAGTGGCAGCGAAAGGTGGGACAGTAATTTTTTCATTAAAGAAACAGAACTGTATGTGATGTGTTGGCTGCCAGAGGTCCATTTTGCACCGGGTTCACTAAAGTACCCACACACCAGTCATGTCAAAAGTGTTTTCGTCAAATTTAACGGGCCTAAACCTTACGGTACGACGTCAACAAAGTTCCCAGGTCAACGAAGATAGTGCTCGGCAGCAACTACCGACGTACAGTGTAAGGGTGATAAACGTGAAAAAGATGACTATGACTGTCCTGTGCTTTGAAAAGATTGGGGCGTACCTGTGGCAATAATCCGCTGGTCAGAGTCTTTGTCGTTGCCCAGAGTTTCGAAGGACAGTGAACTAAAGCCATCATTTCGTGGGCCACTGGAGCCCGATGATGTCGACATACTGGCTTTCCGCGAGGCACCGGGTTGTTTAAGGATAGACGGGGGCAGCGGAGTATATATTGACTCCGTTATCGGGCTTGGGGGTGGGTTTACTGTTTCCTAAAAGCCAAAAATGTTACGAAATTAGAAGGCACTGTAATCTCAAGATAGCCCATGTAGTTATATAGGTGCAAGAATATTGGATGACTGACGGACATTGCAGGTTACTTGGGGCGCCATTTTTCATACCCGAATGATAGAGAATCTGAGGAAATATCCTAGTTAGAGATGGCTAATTTGAAACAGCTTGCTAAGCTAGACTGCGCGAATTCGGTCTTCTTTGGAGTTACGAGACAAGCCCGCCATCGCGGAAAGAAGGTCCCTTGTGCAAGCTCATACTTAACTGTGCGCTTAATGGGATATCCACAGACTTCAAAAGCAGAATGGAAAGGCCGGTCGATATAAGTCACTTGGAGTCTACTTTAAGACCTCTCCAGTCAGCCGCGCCCCAGATTAACATCTGCGAGTGGACGAGAACAAAAATGCACAAAAACATACTTAGCGCACAAAGTCGACAGGTGGGATAGTCGTCTGTCCGCACTCCCTACCACGAGGAGGATGCTACCTCGGGCTGATGTGCGCCTATTCCTGTGTAAATCTTAGCATATATTGACATTGTTTCCCTGAAACGTCATTTGTCCCAGGTTGGCAACCGTACTTGATGGCCAATGGTAGATGGCTGTGGGGTAATGCGCCAAAATCTAATCATATTTTGTCCCTGAACCTGTGTTTAGGGTTTTGGAGGTCTTACTGTTTGTCCGACGTATCCTGTAATGGCGTATGCACTGGCGCATGTCAACGCATTTGGATTTAAAACTAGCTGCAGAACCTAAGTAGCAGGGAGTTGGCTTGACTTCTCTAGTATACTGGTTTCCACACTTCGACCCTCTCGGGTGCTAATCAAGTCTTCTTAAGGGGTCCACGCGAAGTAGCTGTGGCCTTCCGAGGCGAGGCAGAGTCCAGATCTGAGTTTCGTCAGACGAAATTAGTGGAAACTGGCAATAGGGAAGTGAGGGAAGAAGGATTACATC